AGCCCTCTTAAAAACCTCTCCCAATTTATTATCATGGTCCCTTATATTTTGAGCACCAATTATCAAGTCATCAATAAATATTTTCACCCCCCTTATGTCACCAAAAATTTCTTGCATGCGCTCCTGAAACACTTCTGGAGCGCTGGTTAGTCCATAAGGTAAACGTTTAAACCGATACCTCCCAAAAATAGAAGAAAAAGTGCAAATTTTTGAGCTTTCCCTATCTAAGGGTACCTGCAAAAAACCCTGCGTGCAATCGAGAGTACTGAAAATATGACAACCTGCAAACTCCTCCGTGAGAGTCTCAAGGGTGGGGAGCTTCAGATAATGTCTTTTTACCTGAACATTAAGATCTTTCGGATCTATGCATAATCTAAGTTGGCCTGTTTTTTTTCGTACAATTACTAATGGGTGGACCCACTCCGCACCATCAGTAGCTTTTTCTATGATTTTGTCCTGTTCCAGTTTGTCCAAAGCTTTTCTAAGGTCATGCCTTATGGCAAAAGGTACTGTTCTAGTAGCGTGGACTACTGGCTTTGCATTATCTTTTAGTTCAATTTTGTACGGTCTGTCAAGGCAACCGATGCCCTTAAAAAGGTGTTTATATTTACTTAAAACAATAGAAGTGCTGTCAGATGGCTCAATGTTGTTAATTCTTTTAATTAAATTTAACTGAATACAAGTATCTAACCCCAATATAGGGCTACTGTCAGTTTTAACCACAAAAAATATTAGATTAAAATTTTGATTCTTGTATTTTACATGTAAGCAACACTCACCTAGGACTTTGAGTTCATTGTTAGTATATGAATTAAGTTTTACTTTGGTTTTTTGAATTTTCCTCTTGTAGTCAAAATCCATCCCTTTGAGCACCCTTTCTGGAATGACATTGGCCATTGCACCTGTATCGATCTTCATTGTGATTGGATTGCCTTCAACCAAGAGCTACACAGCCCATGACTCTCCACAGCTGTTTCCTCGACCATCAACAGCATCAATCTTATCTAAAAACATAAAATCCGAGGAATCATCTGAATTTACATCTGAATCGTTATCTATAGCAAGAATTTTTTTATTTTTTGTCTTCAGATTTTTATAACATTGTGAACTAAAGTGGTTATGACCCTGACATGCATTACAAACTTTTCCATAAGCTGGAAATTTACCCCTATCATGTTTATAAGAACATTTGGAACACTGAAAATTAGACCTTTTGTCATAATTGTTAAAATTAACCTTTTTAACATGTTTTTTAAATTTCCCTACATTTTTATACCCCTTTTTCTTAACTTCGTCCATTGCCTGCTCCGAAGAATAGCTGCTACCAGAACCATTTGAAATAATTTTGTTCTTTTCCTTAACGCTCTCACTGGTTATACAAAGTTTGATTGCGTCTTCCAGCTTTTCACAGTCTGATTGAAGTAGTTTTTCCCTTAGGCGGTCAGATTTTACACCGCAAATCAGTATGTCTTTGACAAGGCTTTCCCTAAGGGTACCTAACTCACAAGAAAGTGACAAATTTTTTAAAATTATGACGTACTGCTCGATGGATTGTCCATCAGCCTGTTTGGAAGATAAAAATTTATGACGTTCGTAGGTAAGATTGCGTTTAGGGTTGAAATGTTCATCGAACTTTTTGAGTAATATTTTTATTTTGTCAGTTTCATCGGCAGCAAACTCGAAAGTATTAAAAATTCGCATACCTTCATCCCCAATCAGCGTCAGGAGCTGCGCACACTGCGTCTTTTCCTCCTTTTTGCATACTTCTGAGGCTATTAGATAAGTCTCAAAACGCTGACGCCAAAACTTCCAGCTTTCTGCCAAATTGCCAGACATCGGCATGGGTGGAACTCCTCTAAAATCCATCTCCCTCAATAGCAGACCAAAATAATAGGCTGGAACACTGGCAACTAGCACACTTTCTTCTAAAGTGTCTAATGGGGGCGGCGCGCTACGGGTAAATTTTTAGGTTATATTACCATTTGTCCAATTTCGACAGAATTTTCTACGAAATTCTGCATGAAACGTTGGATGATCGTGGATTATTCTTCTAGGAACGTAATTCTCTGTACTGCGCCATGTTTTACTGATGTTTTGTCTCTGAAATTCTGATATTTGGGAGGACACGAAATGATCAACAACATGGGTGGGTTTCAAGTGCTTTATTCGTTTCAGTTGACAACTGACAATGGTGTGACAATTTTGACTGATGTGAAGTTGTGCACAATAGGGTACTTGCATGGAAAATTAAATTGATTATTGTTTATTGCAAACTGTAGGAAATCGAAAAAAAATCGTTACTTTTTTTTCATTTCGCCCAAATATGATTATTTCGGAAGTTATACAAATATTAAGTTTTGTATGTATAGATATACTGAGCATGTGCGACGTCATAAAGTATTATACCTGATGACGTCATAGGCATATTTCATAGCGTTGTATCTCCGTCAATTTTTGACTAAGAAGAAAAAGAAAAAATACGTGTTGACTTTTTTTTCATGGACTATCGAAATCAGCAATAAAAAAATTTGATGCAAGGGGCCTATTCACCAAACGTTAAGCCATGCCATGACTATGGCGTTAAGCCATGACACATACAATCAGAAAGTTTACAACTTCTGAGTGGTTTCTTAATTACTGCGCTTTATACCGTAAAATATACAAAAAATTAATAAAAATCGCAAAGGAAAAGCACTACGGTCGGCGAGTGTCTGATGCAGGGAATTCAACTAGAGAATATTGGAATATAATAAATGAACTGCGTGGTAGACAATCAAAAGCCTCCAAAGGTATAAATATTAAGCTTGAATATTTGAATGACTTCTATTGCACGGTGGCCAGTGAATTGACGAAGAATCTTAAGGTGACAAAAAAACCATTTGGTTTCTTACCTGCATTCTCTTGTGCAGAAAACTTTCAGCTATTTCCGACGGACAGAGATGAGATTTGGGGGGTCATGACCGGCATAAAAAAACAAAACTCATCGGGAGTTGATGGAGTGTCTTTGAAACTGCTTAGATATCTTCCAGTTTCTGCACTTGATGCTCTTACTGACTGTGTGAATCATTCATTTGAAATGGGTTCTTTCCCAGACTGCTTGAAGCTGGCTGTAGTTGTCCCTGTCTTTAAGGATGGAGAAATTAATGATCCGTCGAGTTACCGTCCAATATCCTTGCTCACAATACTCTCAAAAATTATTGAAAAAATAGTTAAGAAAAGGCTAGTTGATTACCTGAAAAGGAACAACATTCTAACACCAGATCAGTTCGGTTTTCAAGAGCAAAAGGGAACAAACGATGCCATTTTTTCCTTTATGGAGAGGTTTTTTCTGGGCCTTAATGATGGAGAGAAGGCTGCGGCGGTATTTTGTGATTTCTCTAAAGCTTTCGATTGTGTAGATCACGAAATACTGCTGCAGAAACTGAGTCACTATGGAATAAGGGATGGGGGGGTTGAGATGGTTTAGGTCGTACCTTGCGGAGCGCAGTCAGCTTGTAAGGATTGTCAATTGTGAAGACTCGGGGTTGCAAAGGTTAACTCACGGAGTCCTGCAGAGTTCTGTGCTTGGTCCAGTACTATTCCTCCTGTATATTAATGACTTGGCTACTTTGAGAATATCTGGATCATTCACCATTTTTGCAGATGACACGACCGTATTGTGGAAACATAAAAATGAAATCCTTCTTAGTCAGATAATCGAAAATGACCTTTCAAGGTTTAAGGAATGGTGCGATTCAAATCGACTTGTGTTTAATGTTTCGAAGACCAATATTCTCACCTTTAAATGTTCCCTTGAAAGTATAATGCTTCACAAATCCACATTGAAGAGCAGAGGTGCGGTCAAATTTCTTGGTATGCATATTGACTCAAAACTCAAGTTCGATGTGCATATCGATCAGCTGAACAAAAAATTAGCTCAAGGGTGTTACATAGTGAAATCCATTATGCAAGAGCTAGGGAAGCGTGCAGCGAAATCTGCATACTATGCACTAATCGAATCAAATTTGAAATATGGCATATACCATTCTGGGGTTTTTCTGGGCAAAGCATTCGGTTTTCAAATTACAAAAGAGAACACTCAGGTATTTATGTCGGGCTCGCTGTAGGCCACTGTTTGAGCAGGAGGCTGTTCTAACTGTTCCGGGTATTTTTATTTTGGAGACGTCTTCATTAATTTTTAAGAAATTTAAGGGTAATTCTAGAGAAACACATTATAATCTTAGGCAGAGTAATTTGCCTCTGCCCATACCAAAGTCTTCACTAACAAAAAATTCTGTTATATACGAGAGTATAAAGATTTTTAATAAGTTACCTCATGAAATAAAGAGTATTCATCAGCTTAAAATATTTCGAGAACAACTTAAAATATATTTGATTCGAAAGGTGTTTTATAGTCTCCAGGAATTTTACGATTCATCCTAATTAGTCCTAAATTTTGTTAGTTTGTGATTATATTTGTTAATTTTATGATTTGTTTTATATTTATATTTATATTGGTTCATATTCTTGTGATATTTTATTATTTTTGTTATTTTAGTTGTGTCTGTCCGTGGCATTCTGATATTTAATTAGTGTCACTTGTATTGATATTTTAACGTGTTTCATAAGCATAATTGTAATAATTGAAGATTTGCTCCTCGATTTGCTCTTTTTGTTCCTATTATTTAAAAAAAAAAATACACCTACCTATATACCTATATATTGTTAAGGGTGAATGCGGAGTGTGTCCTCTGAATAGTAGTTAAGTTTAGGATAAGTCGCTTTGTCAATGGATCTTTTTGAATTTATGACAATAAAGCTTTTTTTGATTTGATTTGATTTGATATTAGAGAAACTTTACAAGCTGTAGCCCAGAAACTCCATCATCTTCAACCTCTTTACCTTTCTGACCCATCCTTTTTTAGCTTTTTTATTTTTTTGGTCGAGCAAATTTGTACAGAGTTTATTTAAAATTTAGAATACCTAAATAGAACTTCTTGATTTATTTGTGTTTATTTTAGACAATAATGGCCAGCTCTACCTGATATCAAATCCGAAATGCAAAATCATAGACTTGGACCCGTTTTCTCAAGATGCCAAGAAATATTTTAAACCAATGAAATACAGAACTTGTTCTGAAAAAGAACTTTTGACCTATGTGACAAAAGAAGACAATATTGCCATTGTTCATGTTGATAGTGACGTTTTAGCACAGTATACTAATGAGTCTTCAATTGCCTGTTGTTATTCTGATGTGAGAAGAAGTAATTATGCAAGGAACCCTGATGATTCTATTAGGTGAGTAAAATCTTTTTGTGCTGGTTTTTGATTTTGATAATTTACGAAAACAAACAAATTTAGATTAACTGCGTGTAAACCATTCCAAGACAACGTCACTATAACCGAAGAAGCGATCATCATCAAATGTACCGAGCCAAATTCACAAAGGCTAATTTACGAAAATGTTCACACTTCCGTAATAACAACGAGAAATGTCCAAGAGAAAATGCATTTATTTGACAATAGCAGCAGCAAACCAATTAGTGTCCTACTCATTGGCATTGACAGCGTATCGAGACTTAATTTTATAAGGGCGTTACCGAATACTCATCGCTATGTTGAGGATAATGGATGGATTCCATTGAAAGGCTATAATAAAATGGCTGATAATACGTTTCCAAATTTAATGGCTATATTAACAGGTTGTTACAATTAGATGAGATAATAATTTTGCCTCAAATGAAATTTATTTTCTATTAAATATTTAGGCAACAAATCTTAATTTCAAACTTAACATATTTTTTTTCAGGATACAACGAAAGTATGTCAAATAAAATTTGTAATCCAAGAGCTGAAGGATACCTGGATAAATGTTCGATGATATGGTACAAATACAGAGATCTAGGTTACGTAACTGGATACGCTGAAGACGATGCCACCATAGGCACGTTCAATAACGATAAAAAAGGTAAGGCATAAGTCCTGTGTTGATAATCTTTTTTTTTTTTAAATTTAAATCCACAATATATGTAGGATAATCTGGAGTTATTAGGACTTCGGTGGTCCATTTATTTCGGAACGAATAATACACTAATAATAATGTAAGCAGATAAACATGAGTAAATTAATCATTTTCCAATATACAGGGTGTCCGTTTTAAGTGATACCACTATTGCTTTCTCGGAAACGGTAAGAGGGACGAGTTCGGTTCATTGGCGGATCCAGAGGTGCTTTTTGGGGAGGTGGGGGGGGGGGCACTTACTTGCGAATGTGGTCATTTAGTAGCCGCCGGAGGCTAACTGCCGTAAGCGAGAAATTTTAGGGTGCCACGCCCGTTTTTTGGGCCCTTTAACGATATTTAATATCAGTATTTGGTTGTACAGGGTCATTTTTTATGTTTTCTTACCCCTCAACTTTTTTGTGCCGCTGTGTATAAAAGAAAAGTAAATAGGAAAAGTGTATAGGTTGAAAAATAGTTTTCACAAAACATAAACCGAATTTTCGCGACGAATGTAGTTCATCCAAGGACGAACCATAATAGTTCGTCTTGTGACGTCATGAGTTTAAACGCTGGCTAGAATTTGCGTCCATGCTTCCTGCGAACTACCTTCATTATGACGTCATGAGTTTTTCGGTTATAGTTTTATTCATACAGGATCAGGGTGTTGCAGAAAGTTTAAAAAACAAAAAAAATATACTTTTTCTATGGGACACCCTGTTTAATAGGTATTGAATATTCGCATTCTACATAAAACTCTGAGCAGATTTCATGTGATATACACTATACACTATACCTAAGTTCAACTGTTTTGGAAATATTGACAGTTGAAATTTGACTTTTTTGCAAGTTTGACAAGCTGTAAAACCTAAATGGGTAATTTTACAGCAAAACCGATTTTACATCAGTACATCAAAGTTGCAAAAAAGTCAAATTTCATCTGTCAATATTTGCAAAACAGTTGAACTTAGGTAAAGTGTATATTACATGAAATCTGCTCAGAATCCGAATATTCAATAATCAGAATGTCCCATTAAAAAAAAAAAAAAAATCAAACACCCTGTGGCCTGTATGAACAATACTATATTTTCTGAGAACTATTTTTTGAGATATACACCTTACCTATTTACATTATTTCTATACAGTGGCACAACGTTAAGGGGGTGGGAAAATATAAAAAATTACCCTGTACCTGCTTATTGCGAAGGAATATAGAATATAGTATCACAGACTTATTCTAAAAAAAAACTCAATACATATCAAAGTATCAAAATTTACAATTCTATACTGCATCAATCACCAAAATCAATAGCCGCCATCATATCACAACCGACAGGCAGTCAGATTCACCCAATCAGTTGAAATACATAATCTTAAAAGCCTGAGAAAAAATGTTACTATTCAAAAGAATATATTTTTTATGCGTACGGAGGACACTTTCTAGAGATTTTTTCATAACATGAAAAATTCTCAGTGCCCCCCCCCTGGATCCGCCACTGGTTCGGTTAAATTAAACAAAAGTTGCAGATTTCAGTATCCATTGATGGTAAGTTCACAGGGTTGCCAGATTTTTGTTCGTTTCCGAGATATAACGGAAAATGTTTTCCTTTGTTGATCAGCGCAGATGTATCTAGTAAAAATATATTCGTTGCAATGAGCATTCAGACTAATACATTCGTGTTTTTTTTTCCTGTCAGTTTTCTTTAAGAAAATGTGTTACGGATCGTTATGTTAGGGGTATTAGGTAAGACAATCACACTCAAAATTATTCAAAAATCTTCAGTATTATAGTATTTATTATAAATGAATTATTTACAGTAAACAACTACTCATAAACTCATGAACTTATTCTCTGGCCATGTTACATAACTGGGAACATGGGAACAAACGGTAATAAATCTGAATCAAACGATATACCTACCTATGGATATGCATTGTAGTGCGGCAGGATATTTCAACATATTGTGCATTTTTTGATAAAGGCACCAAATTTGGCACAGAGGTAGACCGATGTATTATAAACAAATTTGGATGTGGAGCCATCGGCCAACTGCCTCCACGGCTGGCGATTTTTTAAAATGGCTGCCAGTGGACACCCCGGAAGACAACGTAAGTAAGATGAAGTTTGCTACTGAAGGTTTTAGTGAATGTTTATTGACTGTTTTGAATGAAAATATACCAGATGGTTTTTAGGTTATACAGGGTGGGGCACGAAAAACTTCCCACTTAGGTTTTCTCAGGTCTCGTCTCAGGTTTTAGGTGATTAATCAAAAATCGCTCGGACACGTTATTTTTTATTTTTTGGGGGACACATTTTATTAATATTTTCATCCTCTATCTGTCAACCCCTAAGCGGGGTTCGAGTGATACAATGTGCTATTTCCTAACTTTCACAAGCCGCAATTTTGGCAGGATAAATAGTAAAAACTTAAAATTTCGAGGATAAAAATCTCAATAAAAATTCCTATCAAATTACGTATCATTACGTATCCCCGTACCCCCTTTCTGTTCGAAATTTGGGAGATACCTGTCACCCCTGCTTAGATATTGACAGGTAGGGAGTGAAAATACTAATAAAATGGTTGAGCGATTTTTGATTAATCACCTAACACCTGAGAAAACCTGGGTGAGAAGTTTTTCGTGCCCACCCTGTATATATATGGGGTGTCCCACGACGTTTTACCCAGGTGATAACTTCGGAACGCATTATCGAATGTTCCACTTCGTAATTTTTTATCATTTTCTTTAACAAAGCCTTAGCAAATATGGCATTGCCGATTTTGTAATTTAATTTTCTAACGAAAAATGATATAATACCATCAGTTACATTTAAGATTCTTAAGTTGCCGTCACTTGACCAAAACTGAAGCGAAAGTGAAATTGAATGACGTAAATAGAAGCGGCACAAAAAGTTACCCAGATCCTCGAAATTTCAATTAATACATTGGATGACGCGTAACAAAGTTATCACCTGAGTAAAACGTCACGGGACACCTTGTATATACAGGGCGGGGCACGAAAAACTTCCCACCCAGGTTTTCTCAGATGTTAGGTGAATAATCAAAAATCGCTCGAACATTTTATTGGTATTTTCACCCGCCTATCTGCAACCCTTTAGCGGGGGTGACAGGTACCCACAAAATTTCAAATAGAAGGGGGGGAGGGTTAAGATTATATCCTCAAAATTTTAAGTTGCGGCAGGGTAAATAGCAATGAAGTTGTAAGAAGGTTTGGAATGGACTTTGCGTCATTCAATAAGTGATTCCAGGATGGGATAGTGCTAGTCAGGGCAGGAAAATCACACGGATCTCCACTGTTCTCTCACTCTAATCGTGGCCGCAAATATGCGTGATGAGTATTTAGGCAAGGGGCCATTCCAAACCTTCTTACTACTTCATTGGTGAATAGTCCCTACCAGTGTTGCCAGGTCTACTGATTTATCAGTAGATCTACTGATTTGGCCATTGGTCTACTGATATACTGATATCAATGTGAATTCTACTGATAAAATCAGCTGTCATTATTTAACCACTTTTTATGATATTTTTTAAATTATAATCATGTATGAGAATGTCGCAGCAATAATTTCATGCTTGACCTGTGGGCTAGAAGTCTTAGGAGTGTATTCTAAATGACGCTCGATTACTCCGATCAGTCCGGTGTGGTATGTAATGGAACATTCGAACGCTCCCAATGTAGGCGCAACGCTCAGCCTACTAGGAAATGGGTAATCCCCGGGGTGCGTGCATGCTTGTGTTGTGTCTTGTTTACTTGCCTTTTGTCTTGCCAGTTGCCTAAAGACGTGCGTTGTTGTTGGTTAGTCAATTGGTCACATATCGTTATGCTGTACAACTAACTGCATCCTGTTTCACCTGTTTTTATCAGAGACTAGACTACTTAACTACCTACATACTACATAGGTAGTGCGTCTTTGGTAGTGCATATTAAATAAGAATATTTCACGTCTCTTGATAAACTATTTCCTATAGGTAGTATTGGTGTCAGTGGCGTATTTACCATAAGGCCATGGGGGCCATGGCCCAGGGCGGTAGGGCTGCCAGAGGCGGCACAAGCCGTGTCCCCAGAACTTAGGAATGCTATCTTAACAACAAAGCAACAAAATGAGTTTGAGGCAACTCACCATATTATTTAATAAGGAAAAGAATTTGAAGGAAGCATTTTCTCATAAAGAAATAGTAGGTATTACGTATGATTCTATGCACTGCACTACTGCACTATAGTAATCTTTGACTTACAGTGTTTCTTTTTTTGTTAATAATTATGTATGCAACAAGTGTGTAAAGTGAACCTTTTTTCACGAATGTTAATTATGACGCATCACGAGCAGAACGCGAGTGCGACAATCACATGAGTGAAAAAAGGTGCTTTACGCACGTATTGCATACAAATTTTTTTCTACTACCGATCAAATATGTGTAAAAAAATAAATTTAGACAAATTCTTTACGCACTAGTGTATAAAGTATTTTCACTTTACGCACTAGTGCGTGAAGTAATTTACCAGAAAAATCGCAATTTGACAGGTCGACATCTGTCATTGACATTACTCACGTGTGTGAAGTGAACTACTTTACGCACTAGTGCGTGAAGAGAAATTTTACGTCTTCTGAATAGTGCGTAAAGTCAGTACACACGGTAGTAGAAAAATTTTTTTTTCATTATTTAATTTTTTGTTAAATTATAGGGCGGCAAACCTTATAGGCCCAGGGCGCCAAATTTTAAAATACGCCACTGATTGGTGTTTGATTTTCCAATGCAAGTTTTCACATTCTAAAGATTCAATGATTTGAAAAAATGTAAATAGAACAAATAAGTGAGTATACCCTAATGGTTTACCCCTTTAACTAGGCAACTTATCTGTCTACTAATGATTTCTACTGATATTTAGACTGGTAGTCTACTGAAAAAACGAAATATGACCTGGCAACACTGGTCCCTACCGAGATGACGGCTCGTCAAAGTTAGGAAATATGTATTACATTGTATCATTCGAACCCCCTTTCCTTTTGAAATTTTGCGGGTAGAGAGTGAAAATACCAATAAAATTTGTACCGCAAGAAACAAAAATTGACATGTCCGAGTAATTTTCGATTAATCACCCAACACCTGAGAAAACCTAGATGGGAAGTTTTTCGTGCCCCCTCCGGATAGTTAGAAACCATCTGGCAAATTTTCATTGAAAACAATCAATAAACATTCACTAAAACCTTCAGCAGCAAACTTTATCTAACTTCAACTTCCGTTGTCTTTCGGAGTTCCACTGGCGGCCATTCCGGAAAATCGCCGCCACGGCCGCTGGGGGGCAGTTGGTCGATGGCTCCACATCCAAATTTGTTCATATTACATCAGTCTACCTCTGTGCCAAATTTGGTGCCTTTATCAAAAAATGCACAATAAGTTAGCTAATCCGCTGTACTATTGAAGCTTATTTGGCTTAACAGCTTTTTACAAATTCCCTGATGAGCTTAGGGACGCTCAACTAATTAGGTAGGCACTCTAAAATTTATAGTTTCTTGAAAAAAGTCTGATTTTTACCGTGTACCCTCCGATAACACAAAATAATGAGCTGTATTGACAATTATTTTTGAATATATTTTTTGTTTTTAGGTTTTCTTAACAAACCCACGGACTACTATTTTCGTCCATACATAATGGCTACCGAAACACTAAAAGACAATGTTGTAAACAGAATGGCTTATTACTATCACAGTTACTGTACCGGACCCGAAACTGCAGGAGAAAGGATATTGAATCTGGCGAAGGATTTTGCTGTAACGTTCAAGGATAATCCATATTTTGGTTTTTTTTGGATGAATACGTTTAGGTTGGTATAATGAATATGCATCTGAGGTATTCTTCCATTCACTTAACTACGTAGCCCATCACATATTCTCGATCATTCTAATATAGTATCTAATATTAGTTCCTTTTCTGGTCATTACATTACATTTTTTTTTTCAGTCATAGTGATATCAGCGTCCCATCCATGATGGACGATAAACTGAAACTATTTCTTGAAAACCTGAACAGTAGCGGAGTGACAAACAGTTCAATAATAATATTCCTCAGCGACCATGGAATACGTTTCGGTGGCATCCGCATGACCCAAACAGGTTGGCTAGAAGAGCGCCTACCTTTCATTTATTTCTCTTTTCCGCCATGGTTCAAACAAAAATTCCCAGAAGAATACAATAATTTCTTAAATAATGTAAATAGACTTACCACTCCTTATGATCTCCACATGAGTTTACAACATCTATTAACAATGTCAGGTTTGAATTATATAATTACACCCAGTGATGCCTGTCCGGAATGTTCGTCACTATTCAAAAACGTACCCGCGGAACGCTCGTGTGAAGAAGCTGGTATTGCTGATCACTGGTGCATGTGCGCAGGCTATAATGAAACGAAACTAGATCCCAAATCGGAACAAAAGATATCGAGTTTCTTTATAGATATCATAAATGATCAAGTGAAAGAGTTATCTAAAAACAAAAACGTATGTGCCAAATATGCAGCTGCCGAACTCACCATAAGACTGGGGACAGATTTTTCTTACAAAAACACTTCGTACGCTTTGGTACTTTTGAAAACCCATCCGTTTGCTGTTTTTGAAACTACCATTAGTTTTTATGGTGATATCACTAATAGTACATTAAAGGCCGGTGACGTCAGTAGGTTGGATTCTTATAGGACTCATAGCCATTGCGTATCGGATTCACGTTTAAAAAAATTATGTCACTGTACGTAGGGATAATAATTCTAGCTACGAGCGTGCAGAAAGTGCACTTAATTGCAAGTGGACAGTAGCACTTTACCGCACAGTATGCGGTAAAGTGTACTGCAAAGTGTGCGGTAAAGCTACTCTACCACATAGTATCCGGTAAAGTATAACCATTAACAATTGAAAATCGCATCTCTATGGTGACTACTCAAAATTAGAAAAATACCCCTTATAATAATATAAAATAATTTTTATATTTTTATGCCAAGTCCTGGTACACTATAACAAAGACGCCTCACGCCGGCAAAAAAACTTGAAAATTGTTGGCGATGCCGCTAGGCTTTGTCGCTTGCCGACAAAGCTAAGCCGCTCTTGTTGACAGTGTGAGATATTCTCTTTAGAAGTGGACAAAAGTATAAAATTACACAGATAATTGAATAAAAATCAATTTCAAATTTGAATTTTTAATAAAGGAATAATAGTCCCATTCAAATATTTATATTTGATTTATTTCAATAGTTTAAAACGGAATTTTAAGGATTACCTTCTATATGAATTTTGCCCATTTATTTAACGTATTAACTCCACTGTATTCTAGAGGTAAATCAGCTAGAATTTCGGGACAATGGCGTACGTCATTTCAGTTTTTATAGAAATATCTGGAGTATGTTTATTCTTTATTAACCAATTTGTTTTCATTTGTCATGATAATAATATTTAGACGCCTATGGATTCCCACGTGACTTCAAAGAGATCAACTGAGCCGCCTTTTTTATGAAATTTCAATTAATAATGGTTAAACTTTATCCGGTAATGTTGACTTTGGTATATGCAATAATGCCTTTCTTTGAAGATGTATAGATGAAGTATCACTTTCCAAATTTGTTAGTGACTTTTTAATGATACTTGACAGGCTAAATAGTTGTATCTTTACTGCCTAGGCAGAAAAAGTATGTTGCCATGCAACGTTTTAGGTAATAATTGAAATTAAACTGGTACCTAATTGAAATCATATCATCATATTTCAGGTGGTGTTAATGGTTATAACTCCATCCTCTTATTCAAGTAGATCCATTTAGGAAAATTATTTTATTTGACAATTTTTTAAAATTGGCAATAATATTTAAGTGAACACAAAAATTCAACAAATGTCATCAGCGCTATTGATAGTTAGATTAAAAAAAATAGATTATGCGTGAAATTATAACAAATTCGCAGAAAAAATTATATGTTTCATACGGCAGAAAATCAGATTTAATGCCTCGGCTGGTTTGCTAGCCTCGACTATGAAACGCACCAGCCGCGGCATTAAATCTTGGGCTTTTCTGCCTATACATGCCTATAGTTACCTATAGTAAAACAAATAACTATTACTTGAATTAAAAATAGCGTTCGAACAATTTGTCAAGGTCCAAGAATAACATGTCAATAAAATTAATATTTTAATTATTTCTCTATGATTATTAATAAAAATATAACAAAGTAAAGTTGGCCTTTTAATTTATGATGATAAGGATTATAGTTATTTATACAACAAGTGAGTTAAATAAATGTTTATTCTTATTCTTATTATTCATGAGAAGAAAGTTTAACCTACGAGCCCTAGCGAGTGGGTTAATTTTCTTCGAATTAATAAATATTTTAACTCACGTGATGTATACAAAAATTTAATCCCATTTTGTGGAAATTTAAAAAATAAAGTACCAGGAAAAACGCCTAGAATGAGTTAAAAATATTTTTTTTACTACTAACCTGAGAAATAGTCAGTATTTAATCTATTTTTCTAGGAAAAAAATGAATTTCTCTCCCTAGGTTTATAATGAAAATAATGAAAATATACCTAGGTTAATAATGAAAATGACGTCATGACGCAAGGATATTGTCATGTTTTTATTGGTTCAATTTCAATTTCATACGTCAAATAAATAAAAAAATACAGCTTTCTGTAAGTACATAGGAAGTTATCATAAGCTGTTGATAGAGGGCACCACTTTCAAGAGGGCATTCAAAAAAAATAATTAGAGCACAGATTATAAATTATTCATTTTCCACTAGCAGTGGTAAAAAAAAAATCTATACCTATATTCCTTGGTAGAGAAAGTCATTATACAGTGTCATTACTAGTGTGCTATACCGGGTGACAATGAAACTACTACCCATGGCGCCATTTCATAACGGCTCGAGATAGAAATATGCAACTCGGTTTGTTGATAGGGTTGAAAATTGTGAACAATTTTAATATAAAAACAATTGAATATCTTTTCCGGTTTCACCGGAAATGGCCTTGACTTTGTTATTTCAAATGGGACACCCTGTATATTATCTTTTTTTTAGACTCTTTGAACAATTCTAAATAAATTTTGTATGAATACCCCATGTTAAAAATTGATAGTTTTTGAAATAGAGGCGTAATGTACGTAGGTATATGTAATTAAATGAGTGAAGTGACAACTTGAGAATGGGTTATCAAATTTTTAATTTTGCAGGTATCTATGAAGGTTGAATTTGTCATATCTGAATAAAGAATAAAAAAGTAGTATTGGGTAGTGGAAGTTTCATTTCCATAAGATGAACCAGTTTCGTACAGGGTCCGATCAAAAACTGAAACATTCATTTTCGAAAAACGCGTTTTTCTTAACTTGCATTAATTCTTCTCTTTAATTATTTATCGGATACCTCTTTGAATAAGGAGCAAATAACCATGATTTTTTTTGTTCTGGCATACTCAGTTTTTGCATAAAATACAAATAAATAGGGATTACGACATATTTTTGAGCCACACTATTTCAAAAACTATCAATTTTTGACATAGGGTATGTAACACAAAAGTTATTTAGAATTGTTGAGAGAGTCCAAAAAAAATATAATATACAGGGTATCCCATTTGAAATAACAAAGTCAAGGCCATTTCCGGTGAAACCGGAAAAGATATTCAATTGTTTTTATATTAAAATTGTTCAAAATTTTCAACCCTATCGACATACGAAATTGCATATTTCTATCTTGAGCCGTCAAGAAATGCCGCCGTGGGTAGTAGCTTCATTGTCACCCGGTATATGGGATTTTTTTTAGTAATAGCACAATCAAAATTCAAAATATAAACAAGGCCAAAAGTTGGTGCATATGTCTGATAATCATATTAGGTGCACTTAGAGAATGGTTGCAAGTCAAACAGCATACAGGGTAGCTCAAAAAATATCAAAATTGTAGTAATATTTACTTAAATAAAATAAAACTTTTGCACTTTAAGGAGAGTTTTTTTGGTATGGCTATTATCATTAGTAATGTTTTAACTTGTTAAAAAAAAATTGCGGCATTGGCATTTTAAAGTTGTGTTGAATATCATTGCAACAAACATGAATTTTGTGATTCCATGAAAAATTAAAAATCTAAGTTAATTTTACAAATATGCTTGAATTTGAACAAAGTTATGTAAAATTGATTTGCTTTTAATTAATTTTTGAAAGTATTAAGGGCGGAAATAAAAAATATCAATATCAAACTTTGGTTGCGCACGTTATTACTTCGATTTCTATGATTACTTTCACATGGCATGGTGGTAGGGACCAGTTGGGTTACGCACGGTTTTTGGAGTAAATGGACCCAAATTCGATTTGCGATGGAGGCAATAATTTTTTTTATGTCATACCAATACATTATTGTGTTTTTATACCTTAGATACCACCCGTGCGGGCATAAAGTACACATTATGGCCCGCGCGGGCATAAAGACGCAAAAAAAGTTTTCAATTAACTTATTCTTTATTAACAAAATATAAATTTACGCTTATAAACATATTATTTTTGTCAAAAAATGATGATTTTGAATACTGATGACAATTTGCAAAGTGACACTTTTTTCCCAGGTATTTATTATTCACAACCAACTGGTATGACATAAAAATTTGTATGCACCACGGGTACTAATAGATATATACCCTCGGGCGACTTACGAACCCTCGGGCCAGAGGCCCTCGGCTTTGAAAGACTGTCGCCCTCAGGGGGCATAATCATCTACTTCCCAACAAACACAAGTACGTCTTTAGTACGTCCATAATTCGTACTTTTTCGGACGAAAGTACGTCCGTGGACGTACTTTTTAGGTCCCGCCGACGTCCGAAAGATGTCTTTAAGACGGTCGTTTTCCACAAAATAGTACGTCCGACGTACGTACATTCAGGGACGTACTCAGTACGGCTTTTTAAGTACGTATTGGGGACGTACATTAACGTACGTATTTAGTATAGCTTTTCAGGCATGTGTTTGGGACGTACAGGGTTTTCCCATATATTTTTGCACCCTACCGGAACTGGTTGATTGAATAGGTATCAAAAAGATGTAAATACAAATGTTGTGTTTACACCTTTTTGATACCTATTCAACTAACCTGTCCAGATGGGGAACAAAAATATATGGAGAAAACCCTAAACATAGGTAGAGGTAGATATGTATTTATGTGTAGGTATCTTTATAGTGAAAAATAAAACCATATAGGTATATTGTATTTTATTTTCAAGTTACAATTTTCATACTTAATAAATACCTTAACAATTACACTGAAAAACTGAAAAAAATTAACACACTATCAAATATAACATACTCTTAAACTTAAACTTAACCTTAAATAACAAAAAAAATTAAGAAAAAGTGAAGAAAAATTCCAACCTTAAAAAAATATAGGTAGGTACAGAAATAGGTAGGTATCCTATTAGACTATTTAGTTTTTCGTAATAAAAAACCTTATAAAAAGCAAAACTCTTCGTATTCTCGTGTTTATTGAAAAGTAAAATAAAATAAAAACAAAATAAATCAACAGGTTATGGGCCCAGGAAGCTCAAAATAAAAACAGTGTGTCGTGTGTGAAAAACAATAAAATAAAAATAAAACTCCAATTAAAAACTCAATTAAAAACCTTACTGATAAAATAAAAAAGACTAAAATTAAAACATGGCCAGTGCGAGTGAAAATGAGATTGCAACCATCGAAAAATTAGTGAATGCAGAGACCTTTGAAATGTGGAACTTTCAGACCTCAGTTTTCTTTAAAGCAAGTGGGCTTTTTGCAATAGTGTCAGGTGATGAAACATATGAACTGCTAACAGAAGAAAAAGATAAAAAAGGTTTGATGCAGCGAGATGCAAAAGCACAGAAAATCCTCATTTCCACAGTCGACAAAAAAGTGTTAGTGCATCTAATGAACTGTAAAACATCAGCTGAGATGTATACAAAACCTAAAGAAATATTCAAGAAAGATACAGAAGATCAGAAATGTCATTTACTGCAAGAGTTTTTCAGTTTCCAGTTTGAACGAGGCATTGATATTGCTACACATGTAAGTAAATTACAAAACTTAACTTACAGACTAAAAACGTTGAACCAAGATGTAACTGATGAAATGTTAATGTCAAAAATATTAAGTACTCTACCAGAAAAATATAGATTTTTTAAAACAGCTTGGGAGTCGACAACACAAAATGAAAAAAAATTGACAAACTTGATTTCAAGACTTCTTGCGGAAGAAAATGCAAATAAAAACAATGAAAAAGAAAAATCAGTGGCTTTTCAGTGTTCAAATGCAGAAAAAGTTTGTCACATCTGCAAAAAACCTGGACATTTTGCACGTTATTGCAGGAATAAAAATAAAAACTATCATGAAAGTGAAAGAAACTGGAAAGGTGAGAACCGAAGGGGCAATTATTATCAGTCAGAACAAGAGGAAAGAAGATGTTCGATATGCAAAAAGGCAAACCACACTGAAATCAACTGTTTCTTCAGAAATAAAAACAGCAGTGAACATAAAAACCCTGATAAAAAAGTGTCATTTTTGACAGAAAATAAAAACTATGAATATAAAAATAGTAATAATAATATGTTTGTAATAGATTCCGGAAGTACCTCACATATGGTAAATGATCTTGAATTATTTGACAATTTAATAGAAAAGCAGACTGACATATGTGTTGCTAAAAAAGGTGCTCAGATTACAGCTGAAGGTTTTGGGACAATTGAAGCAAAAAACTGCATTTTGAATGAGGTTTTATATGTTCCAGAACTAAGCAAAAATTTGTTATCAGTAAGTGCCATTACTAAAAATGATGGTCAAGTAATATTTGATGATGACAAAGTTTATATAATAAAAGATAACAAAAAGATTCTAGAAGGCAAAAAAAACGAAAACAGTCTATATACAACATATTTGGAAACAAATGAGCGAACAGTTGAAGAAAGCAATTTAAGTGAAACAAAAGAACAAAAAGTGGTCAATTGGCATCGAAAGCTAGGCCACATTAACATAAAAAACATACAAAAATTGATCAACAATGAAATGGTTATCGGAATGGATATAGATAAAAAGGATTGTGAATTATTTGAAATACCATGTGAAGTTTGTTTAAAAGGAAAACAAACAAGATTTCCTTTTAATAGTGAAAGAAAAAGAGCCGAAAGACCTTTAGAGCTCATACATACAGACTTATGTGGACCAATCG